TGAATAAGGATAAAATTAAAATACTCAAAAATGTTTTATTTAAATTTTTAATAACATGTAACAGTATCAAACGTAATAATATACATATACAAGGTGCGTTCCAAAGTAAACAGTAAAAAAGTAACAACATAAACTCTAGTGCCGCCATTTATATGTCGACTAGTGCGTTAGAATCTGCTATCCTTTATCGACTTCCAGTAAAAATTTCATGACATTTCATCTATTGGAAGTGAAGTTATTGTGACTGACAATAAGTATGTTTTTGTCATCGGTGCGAAAATGAGCTTCGAACAAAGAGCCAACATTAAATTTTGTTTTAAAATTGGTAAAACTTTTACCGAAACGTTTCAATTGATGAAACAAGTTTATGGCGATGATTGCTTATCCCGTAGCAGAGTGCACGTGTGGTTTCAACGTTTTCAAAGTGGTCGTGAGGACATGAGCCGAAACCCAAAAAATCGCGCCTGGAGAAGTCAAAAGTGAAGACAATGCTGATTTGTTTTTATGATTCCAAGGGTATTGTCCACAAAGAATTTGTTCCATCCGGCCAAAACGTTAATGCGGTATTCTACCTTGGAGTTTTGAAGCGTTTGGTGCGCCGTATTCGACGTGTTCGGCCCGAATATCGCGAAGATGGAAGTTGGCGTTTGTTGCACGATAATGCGCCGTCTCATCCATCGACGCTTGTGGCCGATTACACGGGTCAACACGAAATTTGACCTCGACTTGAAAGTGTAAAATTTCTTTAGTTCAAATCACAAATACACGAAAAAAAAATATATGACCTTCAAAAGTTTGCTTTTGTGGTCAGAACACTAACTAAACAAATTTTCTCAAAATCTGTGGTTTTAATGTTTAATCTAAGACAGAACTGCATTGATAAATGTATTTATCATTTTTATTAAGTTTCACTATTCAAATAACTCATCGGCGAAAATTTTTTTAATTTGTGGACCAACAAAAATCCCGGCTTTAACCTTTGATTCTGATAATTTCAGAATTTTCTTAAGTATTATCTGAGGTTTGGTCGAGTTTTTTCACGAATTGTTTCATCAATCCCAACTTAATACGGAGAGGTGGCATTAACACTTTTTCTGCTTCCACAATGGAACTGAATTTTACGTTTTGTTTCCCGTCTGTCTGTCCGTCCGTCTGTCCGTCTGTCCGTCCGTCCGTGCAAGCTCTAACTTGAGTAAAAATTGAGATATCTTTATGAAACTTGGTAGACATGTTTCATGGTACCGTGAGACGGTTGGTATTGCAGTTGGACGTAATCGGACCACTGCCACGCCCACAAAACGCCATTAATCAAAAACAAATAACTTGCCATAACTAAGCTCCGCAATAAGATACAAGACTGTTATTTGGTACACAGGATCACATTAGGGAGGGGCATCTGCAGTTAAAATTTTTTTTAAAAAAGTGGGCGTGGTCCCGCCTCTAATAGGTTTAATGTGCATATCTCCTAAACCGCTAATGCTATAATAACAAAATTCACTGGAAGCAAATATTTTTAGCCCTTCTATTGACGGTGTGAAAATAGTTGAAATCGGGTGGCAACTCCGCCCACTCCCCATATAACGGTACTGTTAAAAAAAAGCGCGATAAATTAAGCACTAAACACGCCAGAGTCATTAAATTTTATCTCTGGGATGGTATGAGATGACTTTATAGGAACCGCGTTCAAAATTAGACAGTGGGCGTGGCACAGCCCACTTTTAGGTGAAAACCCATATCTTGAGATCTGCTTAACCGATTTCAACCAAATTCGGTGCATAACGTTCTTTTCATGTTTCTATGTCACAGTGCAAAAATGGGCGAAATCGGACTACAACCACGCCTACTTTCCATATAACACCATTTTAAATTCCATCTGATTATTTCACTTTCCACTATGCAAATCAGGCAAAAATGACTGTATCGGGATAAAACTTTGCGTGAATAATGCGATTAAAGTATGCCACCTTGTGGCCAAAAATTGTCTAAATCGAACCAAAACTGTTTAAGCCCCTAAGTACTAAATATGTGGACCCCAGTGCCTATAGTTGACTTTCTACCGAAAATATCAGCCAATCCACAAAGAAATCTCAAACGAGTATACTATTTGACTTTGCGAGAGTATAAAATGTTCGGTTACATCCGAACTTAGCCCTTCCTTACTTGTTTTTTGGTAAATTTAAATCTCTTATTAGGTCATTAGAATCTTCTGTAGTAATAAGATGGTATTTTGGTTGTTCTGGGGTAGGTAAAAACTCTTTATCGGAATTACTTTTATATGAACTCAGAGATGAGTTACTTTTTTGAGATAGATTCTTTGGCGGCTCAGGCACTGGTCAGGTCATGTGGAATTGGAGCAGAAGAAGATGCAGGGTCAGGATATTCGACAGGTTTTGTATTTTTTATCTCTACGTCGTTTACTCGGGTTAACAATACAAAAGTAGCAATCGTGCACATGGTTCCTTTGTTCACGACAAATTCTTGGTGTCGCAAACTATATAGACCTTTTTTCACCTCGATACCAGCCTAAACTATAGAATTTAAATCAATCTCTATTACAGTAGATTCGACGCTCAATTAAAAATCGCTCACCTTACAAACATCTTTTACAATAACCACAAGCAACATGTGGAGTCCATGATTTATCTTGATTTCGAACAGTACAGTCAAAATATGCTTCATAGGCATCACAGAGAACTTGACATGACTTTAACTCACATTTAGTGTCTCTAACTTTCATAAATTCACCACATACATAACAAAATGCATCAGCATCGTATTTACACTTTCTCGATGACTTTTAACGTTTTCTGGATATGTCCGAAACACTTGATCGTTATTTATCACTTGAGTGCTATCTAGAGGCACTCTCTGAATATAAAAACTCCACACCAATCTCGCGGTATTTTTGAATGCATTAAAACTAATTAAAATTAAAAAAAAATTGAATAAAGATTATTATTATTATAAATATCGCAAAAGCAAACTTTATACCAAAAAAGAGTATTTTCTTTTCGTTTCTGTGTCTAAATAATCGAAAAATCATAGTATAAAGTTTAGGACAAACAACAATTATTTTTTTGTTGACCCGTGTTATTTGACCAAAAATCACATTTTAACAATCAACCACTTCCCGTATTCACCAGATATGGCACCGTGCGAGTTCTACTTTTTCGGAAAAATGAATTTGCCGATGAAAGGAAAGCGTTATGCAGACGTGGAGGTCATTCTAAAGGCTTGCATCGGCATACTGGCGGCCGTACCGGGCAACGAGCTAAAACACTCGTTCGACCTGCTTTTGGAACGTGCAAAAAGCTGTATTAGAGCAAAAGGAGACTATTTTGAATAAAATTAATTGATTTTGCCGATAAAACCATTTGTTATTTACCTTGAAACGCACCTTGTATAAATGAATTTACCTAAATATATTAAGATGCTTTCATATTTATTCCCTTTAAACGCAAAGGATTGAATTAGAATATCATTTTATTTGAAACAAGAAATGTAAGGTATATACTTCCCGATAGATTAGGAAATTCCCGTCATAAATTTGGCCTTGAAAATATTAATAGCGGGTATAAAATTAATTGCCGGTATTCTAAATATTGTTCTATCACATTCATGGTAATTCCTAGCAAGCAAAATGTGAGACCACCATCCCAACATACAAATGAAATATGCAACACTGACTGTGTTCTGTTCCAGCATAAGAGTTTCCATCATAAGAGAACTCAATTAGTACAAGCAAGGACGGGCAAAACCTTATGACTCGAGCTACATGTGTACAAACAATTGCTGCACACATTCCCCCGCATTCACATGTTGGGCAAAAGTATGTTTCGCGGTGATGTAAAATTAGTTCAATGATAGATCCAAAATCAAGACAGTAGGATCACAATACATTTTGTGACGTATTCGTTAAACGCTCCAAAAGCCACTACGGATGCTCAGGTTCGAATCTTGGTAGGATTTTTTTTTTGTTTTATTTTTTGCGCTTACGCATGACACAGAGATTCTATTGGTGCATATATACTTATGTATGCACATATGAATATAATTTAATTTTATGAAAGTAATGATCCAATAAGTGTATATATGATCATATTTATGTGCATTTGGACTTATTACTCTCAGCCAAATTATTCAGATGAGCATCATTAGAGCCGGTGTCACAGTTTGACAATGGGCGTAGCACCGACTACCCTTTGTTGAAATCTTATATCTCAGGAACTATAAGTACTCCACCAACATCAATCATATGGTGCATAACATTACCGCAACAGTCTTACACAAATAGTAACTTCAAAGTATAGCATCTCACGTCCAAAAATAGCCGAAATCGCTCAATAACTTTTCCAGTACCTAGGTACCAAATATGTGGCCTATTGCTGACTTTTTACCGAAAATATCTGTCAACCTATGAGGTATCTTTATGAAAGTCAGAGAGCATTTTTTTCTGGAAATAATATGTCGTAGTGCTCAAAATAGAGGGGTTATAAAGCTTTTCGAACTACCGCTTGGATTAATACCATATACCGTTAATATTTAAGGTATTTTAGATAGTTAAGTGAACTATATGTATATAGTTCAGTACTGAAAATGTGTGAAATCTGTCCCCGAATTACCTCAGCTCCAATATATCACATATAATGATTTTCAGTATTCTAGCAGATTTATACTGAATATGTCGGTTAGTGTGTGCGTTATCTTCATAAAATTAAGTGGAAACATGTTCTCGAGTATACTTGAGGAATTCTAAACGTTAATACAATCAGGCAAGGATATGTGATTAATGTTTTTCTCATATACTCAATATATTAAATTTAACCTTTTTGTTTAAGTTTAAACACTTACACATCTCATTTGAGTTAACTCGGATGATTTAAAAATAAGTACTTCAGATAGGAAGCTTTATGAAAGTAAAATAAAGCATACTCGATAAGTTTTAAAGTGGATCAAGTTACTATTACTATTATTTTATTGCTCCAAAATGTCTTTCTTACCTGTTAATTGATGACACGCTGGGTACATTATCCTGCGAGCATATGCTTTCCGCTAAAAGTCTATCTCGTATTTCCCAAGCGAACATCGTTGGATTTTCACGTTTATAATTAGCAATTGCATCCACAACTGGGGGAGTGGCTACTTTAGGTTTGGAACCCCCTATGACTCCGGCTTTAAAGCTTCCAGTCTCATAATACCTTAAAACAAAAACGGAGAGATACAATAATTATCGAAGAGTATGAGTAAAGACTTTGTAATTAGATATAATGTAACTAAATTTTGAGTTCAAAAACTCTATATATCCTATACTATACGAATGTTTTTTTTTTCGCTTGGTACTTCGAAAAATTAATTGATAGACACCTCTTAGAACGTCTCTCAAATTATGAGCTCCTAATTGTAACGGAAATGTCCTTCGTCTTACAGTTTAATATGTTTTTCCCATTATCAGATAAAGAAAATTCATATCTCGCTTCCAACTACTTGAAAAAATATTTCGTTTTGTGGATTTTGTAGAAAAGCGAATGCTTTTCAAAAAGAGTCCAGGGTTTGAATTATATAACTCAATGAAAATAAATTATGATAAATCGGAAGGCTCATTATTTTGTAAGAAATTTGCTGCTCTACGAAAATCTATATAGCAATCTCTATAGCAATAAAATCTTTTTAATTTTAAAAAGTGTGTCAAATAAGTGAAATATGCAGGTATGAGAATTAAAATCATGACATATTCGGCGGAATGGTTCGTTTAATTCGAAATACCAGTAACGGTCTAAACTGCCTCGAAAAGCGAACCGGGATAATAAATTTTATTACAGACAGGAGAAAAGAACTGCAAACTGTTCCATTCAAGATTTTCACTAAGAATATTATGCCAAGCATTTTCCTACGACTAGATAGTGTAGGTAGATTTATAAGTTTTAAACGACTAGTGTATGGAGGTAGACTTAACCTAGAATCCCATCGGAAACTCCCTAAGGCGAAAAGTAAACATTATTTTTGAACAGATTCTAACTTGTCAGAATGGATTTGGTAGCTAGGGTTCCACACAAAAGAGCCATATTTCACTATAGGTCTAACCATAGTTGTAAAAGGTGTTTTAGTAATATACGGATCTCTAAATGCTTTAGCCCAACGTTTAACAAAACTGAGGACACCTTTTGCTTTCAAGACCATGGTATCAATATGAAGACTAAAATTAAGTTTAGGGTCCATATTAAAACCCAAATACACAAAGTTAAAAAATTGCTTTAGACTATGGTTTTTTATTACATAAGGAGAGGGGTGCAGAGATCTACGGGAAAAGCACATCGTCTTACATTTATTGGAATTCAATGGCAAATCCTTATATCACACCAAGCAACCAAATTGTTTAAGTCTGTTTGCAACAGACAACTTTTATCAGTTAAAGTGTATGATTTAAAAAGCTTTACATCATCGGCGTGAAATAAAATTTTTGAGAATTCTATTACAGAAGAGATATCGTTAATAAACAACAAGAACAGAATGACTATCTTGCGGAACATATGAAGAGACATTAATTGTATCTGAAAGAGTATCCTCAAACATCACTCGTTGTGTTCTACTATAAAGATAAGAAGCTATCCTATTGAAGAAATCTTGGATGAAAGCCCAGAAAATCAAGTTTATATATGTATGAGAGTCGAGTGATTTACTTTATCGAAGGCTTTGCTAAAGTCTGTTTATATAACATGCGTATGCTTATGTACCCTAAAACCCAATGATAATTTGGCACTATTCTTCAGGAAGCATGAGGGTGTCATGTCTGGGTCGTAACTAAAAGATGGTTTTAACTTATTTAAATTAAGTAGGACGTCTTCTTCAGAAATAATTGGAGCGTTAATTGAAGTGTTCGGACATATTACGTGCTGATAGGGAAAAAGTATTAGGAGAATTATTACAGTGGTTTGACTAGAAAAATTCTGCAAACATATTGGATATAATGTCATTGTCACTAGAAATGAAAGATTTGTATTTCATCCCGGACGGAAATTTGGAAATCTGCGTTTAACGAAATCATAAAACAATTTTGGATTACATACAATATTCTTTTTTACCTTATTTAAGTTATTATTATAATATATATAATATTGTATATTATTATATATTTTTTGTTTAGATCAAAATACCGTCGACGCAATACAGAATATTTAGAATAGTCGACAAGTGAACCGTTTTTTATTTAAATATTTAAAGGCTCGAGTTTTTCTGTTTTTCAATTTATATAACTCTTTCGAAAACCACGGACTTGTACTTTTACTTTTATTAACAATTACTAGTGGAACATACTTTTTAAATAACTTCGTAATAATATTATTTAAATGCGAGACACTCAATTCAATATCACCATTATAATCAGGCCATGTTATCGTAGAAAGTTCTCTATTTAACTTTCTAAAATTAGCTTTTGCAAAGTTAAACCGAGTACAGAAATTAAAAGTTTGATGATTACTATCCCGTATATTGCTTAAGTTTTCGACAGATATTTCCAAAGCGGGATGATATGAGTTCTCTGGTAGAACAAGAGGATAACTCTGAATAACGGAACACTTTGAAGAGGTATCAACGTATACTAAATCTAAATATTTACCAAATTTATTCAGAATCAAATTAATTTAGTTCAGACTTAACTCGGACATTTTTTCCAAAAACTCGTGTAGTAACGTATGACCGATTACAAATAGGTAAGAAAGCTTTTCACGAGACACACAGTAATTTGAAATCTCCTAAAACGATTATTGAATCTGAATTGAATCTACATGTAGACCGTGGAGAGTCGATTCGGTGTCGTTCGCAGCAACTCGGACTGACGTATGGAACGATTTGACGCATTTTACGTCGAGATCTTAAATTGAAATTGTACAAAATACAGCTTGCACAGCTGAAGCTGCTCGACCTTCCCAAGTTACATCGCTTCGCTCTATGAACTCTTGAAAAGTTCCAAGAAGATCCGAAGTTTTCGAGCCAAATTTTGTTCAGCGATGACACCCATTTCTGGCTCAATGGGTATGTAAGCAAGCAAAATTGCCGCATTTGGGGCAAAAAACAACCTGAAGAGATTCAAGAGCTCCCATTTCATCCAGAAAAAAATAAAGTAGGGTGGTTTGTGGGCCGGTGGAATCATCGGTCCATATATCTTCAAAAATGATGCCGGTGAGAACGTAACCGTCAATGGCGACCGTTATCGTGCCATGATAACCGACTATTCGATGCCTTAAATTAAAGCTCGTGATCTCGGTGACATTTGGTTTCAACAAGACAGCGCCACTTCCCACACATCACATCAACCAATGGATTTATTGAGAGAACAGATAATTTCATGTTTTGGGCCGGTCGATTTGCTACCAAGATCGTGTGATATCACACCGTTAGACTGTTTCTGTGGGGATTCGCCAGTTACCAGTCGAAATGCTCGAACGAGTCATCGAAAATTGGATCAACGAATGGACCATCTGAGATGTGGCCGCGGCCAACAGTTGAAAGAGATAATCTTCAAAAAATAAATGCCAAAGAATGGTCTTTTGAATGATAATAAACATTCCTCATTAAATTTGAATTTTCTGTGTTTTTTTCTTTAAAAAAGTAGGGAACCTCGAAATGGATCACCCTTTAAATTGATAAGATTACAGGTTGATTGCATTTACACATTTTTTCATAAAAAACTGGTCAATTTTATAAGTCATTTGAAGTTGCACACATTTTTCTTTCTTTGGAAGACAACTATGGAATTCTCAATTATAACACTCGTAATAGTAAAACTAACATTTTTAAAGTCCCTTATTGTGCTTAGTCCTAAGAACAGTCGCAAAGAAATCGAAGTAGCTGTAGGACTGGGAACGAATTGTCCGCAATAATATGTTATCGCTTTCGGCAGAGTGTTGTAATTTATATTTAACTTTCATCGGCTTAGTTTAAACATAACGTCAATTAGAACTATTTATCATACGAAAAGCTTATCCAATAACCAACTATATTCTTTAATTCCTACAATGAGTAAATGTTCTCTTTTGTCAACATATTATATAATATAATCTATAATTATACCCACATTACTAAGAAGACAATAAGACTGTTTAATACATATTAATTAATTGTTAATACCATACCCAAGAATGATGCTATACAGTTAAAGTGTATGATTTAAAAAGCTTTACATCATCGGCGTGAAATAAAATTTTTGAGAATTCTATTACAGAAGAGATATCGTTAATAAACAACAAGAACAGAATGACTATCTTGCGGAACATATGAAGAGACATTAATTGTATCTGAAAGAGAATCCTCAAACATCACTCGTTGTGTTCTACTATAAAGATAAGAAGCTATCCTATTGAAGAAATCTTGGATGAAAGCCCAGAAAATCAAGTTTATATATGTATGAGAGTCGAGTGATTTACTTTATCGAAAGCTTTGCTAAAGTCTGTTTATATAACATGCTTATGCTTATGTACCCTAAAACCCAATGATAATTTGGCACTATTTTTCAGGAAGCATGAGGGTGTCATGTCTGGGTCGTAACTAAAAGATGGTTTTAACTTATTTAAATTAAGTAGGACGTCTTCTTCAGAAATAATTGGAGCGTTAATTGAAGTGTTCGGACATATTACGTGCTGATAGGGAAAAAGTATTAGGAGAATTATTACAGTGGTTTGACTAGAAAAATTCTGCAAACATATTGGATATAATGTCATTGTCACTAGAAATGAAAGATTTGTATTTCATCCCGGACGGAAATTTGGAAATCTGCGTTTGGGGTTAACGAAATCATAAAACAATTTTGGATTACGTACAATATTCTTTTTTACCTTATTTAAGTTATTATTATAATATATATAATATTGTATATTATTGTATATTTTTTGTTTAGATCAAAATACCGTCGACGCAATACAGAATATTTAAGAAGTTTTAAATTTAATTTCAATTCCAAAAAATGTTCTTTTACATTTTGCTTGATAGTGTTGGCGTGTTTATTCTTTTTCTAGTATTATATTATAGATACTACCAAGCATGATTACAAAACCAAAATTATTTTTTTTGCCTTTTTACAAATGAACATAGTACACAGTTGTGAAAACTGATTTGTTCGATTCGAAGATATTTTACTTTGATTGTTGCTAACCCACATCATACCCAAAAAATTAATAAATATTACAGCAAACCTATGGAAAAACGCGCCAGATTTTCTTCTCAAACGCTAGCATCTTGTATGTATATTTGCATATCAGTTTGTCTTATTGATGCAAATAAATTAAAGACATTTGCCAGAGAAAGAGGTACATGTATAAGACAGTTTTTTAAAACTCTGTGAAAAAACTATACGAACATTTAGAAAGAAATTTACTAAAAAAAATACTAAAGTGAGATCTTCCAGCATTTGGCTTATATTTCATTCACTAAATTAGTCAAGTATAGTAAAGTTTTAAACTATCTTTAACTCTTAAGGTATATTGGCCACATTGAATATCGGTGGAGCTCATTGATCTTTTAAATATACGCACTTTTGTTAAAAGTCTTCAATTAAAAAATATTGATAAAGAAACGTAAATTACTTAATTGTTCACTTAGATTATTTAAGGTGATTGGTTGACAGTTCCCAACAGTATTTCCAAACTCAGAAGTCTAGTGGGTAGCGCTGTCAATTACATTCAATATTAAATTACAAGTTATTTTAGGTACCACAAATACTGAAATACAAATGAAAGCTTACGTTGTAGAAAAATCCATTTCGTCAATAACACAATTTAAGCAGAAATCAACCATTTCTGTTTGCATTATTTTGTTCGCAACACGTGTAAGAAAAAGCGCTCCTTCTGAAGCTTTATATTATTAAGATTGCCATAGAATAACAAAAAATTCTTACTTGATGAATTATCAATACTTTTTTTATTTGTCAGGTACACAGATTAAAGGGGAAGATATTAATATGATTTTCAGCTAAATATCAAATATATTAAGATAAAATTATATGAAGCTACTTTCTTTAAATTAATTAATATGTGTATATCGATTCTTACCTTGACAATATTTTAGATACACATCCATGACTAACTCGCAATTGCCGTGATATGTCACAAGGACGGACGCCATTATGTGCTAACTCAACGATGCGTTGACGCACCACATCGGGAAGTGGACGACCATTGACAAAAACGCCACCCAGTTGATTTACACCACCGTGACCTTTAGAAATTAACATAAAATAATTTGTATTAGAGTTTCCAGTAAACTAAGCACTAAATTCAAAAAATAAAACTATAATTTGGTACAGAGGATTGCATTGGCATGGTGCACCTGTGTGATTAAATTTTTCTTAAAAGTGATCGTGGCGCCGTTCTCTAATAAGTTAAATGTACATATCGCCCAAACCATTCAACATATATTACCAAAATACGCTTAGGAAAAATCCCTTTGAAACCCCTACCGGCAGTGTGAAAATGGATGAAATCGGATTATAACCTCGCCCTCTCCCCATATAACGCGCATCTAAAAGCGCGATAAAGCAGTAACTAAATACTTCAGAAACATACTATTTTACACTCGAGATGCTACTAGAAGGCTTTATAGGAGCTGGTGTCAAATTTGGAAAATCCATATCTCGGGACTTACTCGACCGATTTCAACCATATTCGGTTCGTAATATAACCTTAACATTCCGATATCATAGTGTGGAAATAGGCGAAATCAGACAAACATCACGCCTACTACTTCAAGAACCAATCAATGTATCCGGATACAATTTTGCACAAATAGTGCCCTCAAGATGCTTCATCTTACATTCAAAATGTCAAAATCGGACCATAACTTTTGAAGAATCCAGACCCATATATTGTGGACCCCAGTACGTGGCTGACTTTTTGCCGAATATATCGGTCAATCTGTGAGATTTTTTATTGAAATTCGGGGAAAATGTTTCTATGATAATAATATATCCTTGTGTTAAAAATGGGTGAATCAGGTCAATACTTCCCTTAGCCTCCATATAACTACTATAAAGATTTGCGAACTTCCAGTTGACTTTATACCACATATATCGGCCAATGTGGGAATTATTTTAATGAAATTGAGAGAGGGACAAAATCAGCCCCCCCAATAACTGATACTCACGACTTTAAAACGTTCGGCTGACTTTACTCCATATTATATATTTATAAAATTTCGTGAAAATAAGTTCTCAAGTATACCTGTGCAATGTCCATTTCTCGGCCCCAAATGATTATAGTTTAATTTTCGCTATTGGCTTATGACGGTCAAATAAAAAACGCCTATTATTAAATTCAACCGCCACCTTTTGCCCCTCTCTGTGTTATTTTTGTGTTTCTAACAGTTTTGAGTTGTCCTGCTTCCGAGCATATATGCATATGTATATTTTGTTTCAGAAATTGACTCCCACTGAATTCAAAACAGCTACCAACCGAAAATTCAATGTCGATTATATTCTGTAACTAACTATGGTGGATTGCAAAGTCCGCAATGCCATAACTGGAATCTCATCTGCAAAGTGTTACATATACCAACCCACATTTACTGAGATTAACGATATTGACAAATGCTTACAAAAGTAATTTCGAAAAGATCGGTACGAATTTGGGTCTAAAGGAGATCACTACATTCGATTTTTGAATATTTTCTTCTTCTTGTAGACTTGAAATCAGATAATGCCAAATAAAAACAAGTAAGGAAGGGCCGGGCCGAAAGGGGTCGGATGGAATCGAACATTTTATACTCTCGCAAAGTCAAATGGTATACTCGTTTTAGATTTCTTTGTGGATCTTGCCGCCTTGTTCTATGTTGACCGATATTTTCGGTAAAAAGTCAGCTATAGGCACTGGGGTCCACATATTCATTACCTAGGGGCTTGAACAGTTTTGACTCGATTTAGACAATTTTTGGTCACAAGGTGGCACACTTCAAACGCAATATTCACGCAAAGTTTTACCCAGATACAATCATTTTTGCTTGATATGCATAGTGGAAAGTGACAGAATCAGATGGAATTGAAAATGGTGTTATATGGGAAATAGGCGTGGTTGTAGTCCGATTTCGCCCATTTTCGCACTATGTTTTCACCTAAAAGTGGGCGGTGCCACGCCTACTGTCTAATTTGAACGCGGTTCCTATAAAGTCATCTCATACCATCCCAAAGATAAAATTTAATGTCTCTGGCGTGTTTAGTGCTTGATTTATCGCGCTTTTAGTAGTTTTTAACAGTACCGTTATATAGGGAGGGGGCGATGTTGTCACCTGATTTCAACTATTTTCACACTGTAGGTAGAGGTTCTAAAAATATTTGCTTTCAGTGAATTTTGTTATTATAGCATTAGCGGTTTAGGAGATATGCACATTAAACCTATTAGATGCGGGACCACGCCCACTTTAAAAAAAATTGTAACTGCAGATGCCCCTCCCTATTGTGATCCTGTATACCAAATAAGAGTCTTGTATCTTGTTGTGGAGCTTAGTTATGGCAATTTATTTGTTTTTGAATAATGGCGTTTTGTGGGCGTGGCAGTGGTCTGATTACGCCCATCTGCAATACCAACCGTCTCACGGTACCAAGAAACATGTCTACCAAGTTTCATAAAGATATCTCAATTTTTACTCAAGTTAGAGCTTGCACGGACGGACGGACAGACTGTCACCCGTATTTCAACTCGTCTCTGCATCCTGATCATTTATATATATATAACCCTATATCTAACTCGATTAGTTTTAGGTGATACAAACAACCGTTAGGTGAACAAAACTATTATACTCTGTAGCAACAGGTTGCGAGAGTATAAAAAAAGGTTTCTAAGAAGGAAACAAAATATTAAGGGGAGTTTCGTTAAAAACTGTGTTTAATTGTCGACAAACCAAAAACAGGGTGTAGTGGATCTTCAAATGATGGGAATACTGCAAGAAAATTTCTCAATGATGCCCCCATTATCAGCTGAAATAACTGGCATAGAAAAACAGATAGCTGCAAATTTTTTGGCCGCTGATTCGATTAATAATTATAAATTTTTATTTCACCCTGCATGTTAAAATACAAAAATGTGTATACAATACAATACAATCATATACGCATAGTAAAACCTGGATCGATCGCAGTTTATTATCTTGTGGTTGGTGTACTTCTATTACGTTTAATTTCAAGACTTAAGTATTCAGGAAGTGGATTTAAATACAGGTGTTAAGAAAGAGAGATTTTTTTAAAACCTGTATTGAAATCACCTGATAAAAGAACAGGCATTCGCGAGTATATTTCTGGAGAATTCAAAATTTCTGCTGACAATGCAGCAAGTGGAGATGAAAACTCAAAAAATCCATTACATCATTGATTTTTATACTCTCGCAACGTGTTACTACAGAGTGTAATTGTTTTGTTCAACGAACGGTTGTTTGTAACACCAAAAACTGATCGAGATAGACATAGAGTTACATACATATATGCATGTATATATTATATATTCATGACGAGGATGTGGAGACCTGTCTGGGTGACTGTATATCCATCCGTCTGGCCATGCAAGCTGTAACTTGATTGAAAATATATATTTTGATGAAACTTAATGAGCATGTTCCTTGGTACCATAAAAAGTTATTGTAAATGGAAGGAATCAGACCATTACCGCGCCCACCAAACTGGTTTTTGATACAACAAATCGTATCAAGGAGGGGCAAATTTAGTCTGATTTTTTAATTTAAAAAATTGTTCATGGTCCCGCCGCCTAATAGGCTTAATATATACATTTTCAAAACCACTTAAGTCATATCAACCAAATTTGCACAGGACACATTTTACGAAAAGGGATGTAAACCCCGCCCACTAACGGTTTTGTTGAAAACTATTAAAAGTGCGATTACTTACTAACTAAACATGGAAAGACATTTAATTTTACATCCAAGACGGTACAAGCATTCATAATAGGAGTCAATAGCAAAATTGGACAATGGATGTGACACCGTCCATCTTTAAGTGAAAACCTACTGTTACATTGTGAAATTCGGCGGCAACGGATATCTGAATAAATTGTCCAAATCGAACCACAACTTTTCAAGACCCCAGATACCGTATGTGTTGATTACCGATATTTTAATATATCAGTCAATATGTGAGTTATCTTAGTGAAACTAAGAAAGCATCTATTTATTATAACAGTGTATACTTGTGCTTAAAATGGATAAAACCTTAACCCCCATTACATAATAATTTCAAACATCCGGTTGACTTTATGCCTTGTTATTAGTCAGTATTTGCAGTAATTCAAAAAATTTATATAATTTTATTTATATTTATTTTTTCGTTATTACAGTATACTTTATGCCAAAAATGTGGATCAGTATGTGAGTTACTTTCGCAAAATTACGTGGAAACATGTTTTTGAGTATACTTGAGTAATCTAAACCTTAATTCAATCAGTATAAACCTTCTCTTAGCCTCAATATTCCCGATATCAGATTTTCCACTTAATTTTAAGCCGTTTACGAGTATGTCGGTCTATATTTGTAATATTTTAATAAAAGTAAGTAGTTTTCAAAATATATGTGGCTTAGCGCTGAATACGAATGAAATCAGTCTGGACATTGGTCTAAATCTCGTATCTCTAATATAGTGATTACCATCTTTTGGTTGATGTTTTTCTTACATACGTAAAACTATATTAAATTTAGCCTTTTTGGTTGAATTATATCACATAGGTATACATATATCATTTGAGTTACTTTTGATATAAACGTCTCGAACACGAAGCAAAATGTAGGAATAAAACTATGTGAGTACATCATCAATAGTATGAATTAGTAATATACCAAAATATGATTGAAATCCTTTCATACTTTCTTCGAATACTAAGTGTTTAATTCTTTCGCAAAACTTTTTACATCAATCGAGATAGATATAAGTTTATATCGTAACGGATTTTTAGATAAATCATTTGTCTTGTAACTCACTCTTGAGTTTGCTCACTGGATTGTTAAATAAACGTCCCAATTTAATGGCTGTACACTTATCTTTATTTCTAATTCCAATAACTTAACGCTTTATTACTCATTACCCGACCTTAAAACTTCTTACTCATACTTCAACTTCTTTACATGGAAACACTCTAATTAGAACTGTCCCTACAATCCGTCGGCCCTTATATAGTAGATCTTTAACAAACCTTCGCCACTAGTCTGTCCGTCCGGCCGTCTGTTCA